CCAATTCCAATAACCTGCTTGACTCTGAATATCGGTCATTTCGGTCTCTAGCCATTGGCGACTGCCAACGCCCTAGCATTCCCTGCGACGACCACCATTCTGCAATGGCTGCAGTAGGTCGCATCCTTTGGGCGGCGGGTGACATGCGAATCCCAGCATGGCTGCATGGCCAGGAAGATCAAGACCTTCTACTCGTCCTTCTAGCGTCCTTCCATCGGGTCCTTCCTCCAATAATGTCACCCACACGCTTCGCTGCATCTCGATTTGTTAATCTGAGGGGCATTGTGATTCTGGCTGAGACTCCCGCGAGTCGCACCCTCAAAGTCAGCATATGAAGTCATTTGCTTCGTTATCTATACTTCTGATATCAAACAGGTGGAAGTTCGAAACGGGATGCTTATCTACGTCGCAGGATCATGGATGATGGATCCCACTAGCAACGACCCAGAAGCACTACACATATGCGGATCCAGTTCGAACATTGGGCTGCCGTGCCCACCATGTATCCGTATCCTTGCTCGAGGAACCTAACTCAGGTCCAGTTTAATTGGGGTGAACTCGGGGAAACAACCAGGAGCGTGTGCTGACCCAGGTGAGTCCGTGTGCGGTGTCGGTCAGGGGGAAGGGGGGACACTTGGGAGAGGGAATTCCCTGGGCTTGGGACGAAGCCGCAAGCGCGAATTTCTCACGCAATTGCAAGCAACCTAATCTTCCATGTATTTGTACGGTCGCCATGGGCGGCGCGCTATTCGGACTGGGATTCGAACGACATGGAGCAATGAATATCCGTACACGACTCAGTACATCCGCATTTCACACTGCTACACCCAACTCTTGCCTAAGTAGCCATCTTTCGAGCAAGCGCGTTGGATTTTATCTGGACTTCAACGTGGACGCATCTCAAGAAACATCTTCACTCGGTCGACGAACAAGCACATTTTTTGGTCTCTCTTGCGGTCAGTACGGAGTGAATAGCTCGTCCGAACAATCTCGCCGAACTATTGGGCTTGCGGTATAGTCCGCGTCTGGTTGCAGCGCCAACGCGACCATAACATTCCCAGCCCCAGGAGACAGGCAGTGATGATGAGAAATTACCCACATTGGCGGCACGGCAGTCGCAGACGCCCCGTATTCGAGATTGCTCCGTGTCAAGAGACCTCGAAGCGGCAACTAGCTCCTTGCCATGCCTCCTTGGCTGCATCAGTCAGTACCTACCTTACGGATGCAAATTAGCGCTTCTTTTGCTATGCAAGCTCGCAAAGTTTATGGGCAGATTTGATGAGGCGGCGACGGTCCATCCCGACTGCGTACTGCAGCCACACGGTAACCGAACAGCCCTGAGCCTGGCGAACAAGGCCAAGATTAGAACGCGCTTGATGGCGTGACAAGGTAACAGTGGTAGGGCTTTCGATTCCTCGGTTAGGACCGAGAGGCGCTGCGCTACCAGAAACACACCACCAACGTCTTGTTGGTCTTGAAATTGGCGGCATATTGACTTTCTCAAAGACACTCTGTATTCGTTCCTACGTGAGGCGTGGTGAAGCCATCCACGCCGCCGCCGTGTCATGGCCCACGCTTTCTTTCGACAGTAGGTGTGGAGGAAGTGGGCAGTGTCCGGACCATCAATCCAATCCATGGTGATGGATTAGCATCCTCTGGGGAAGCCAAGTGAAGTGTTCATTCGTGCGCGAGAAGAATTTTGTACGTAATGGCGTGCGTTTGACGTTGGCCTCTGCTCTCGCTTCTTATCTCTCCAGACTCCAGTTTAATTGTAGCACTACGGAGTACCTACGGACATGTGGGTGGGACGAGAGAGACGAGACGAGGGGTCTCCTGCATTCGGACTGACCGAAGATCGCAACGAGCGGATTCAAGGACCCGCTTCGAATTTGGGGGGACTCTTTCTCTGGGTGGTGGGACAATCTGACATGGCTACGGGGTTTGGCTGATATCGGAAATCAGCGTCGACGACTGTCAGCAGAGCAGCCGCCCTTCATCCGTGCTGGTTCCTATCATGAACTGATCGACATCCGACGAGAACGAACGACTCGGAGTTGTCGCGAGTAAAACCTCGAAGACTCGCATTCGGGGTGTAGAGTTTCCAACAAATATTGTCCGTGCAGCAGCTACTCTATTTTCGGTTGATTATCTAATTATTGGTGGTCCGTTAGAAACATCATGTCTAGTAGTCGTCGTTGATGCGTCGTTGATATTGTTGTCGCCGCACACCAATATTAGCATCACCAGCTGAAAAACAGGCGTTGAGAAGCGACGGCTTCGGACATTTTACACATGCGCCAAGATCACATCAAACTCGATCGCCTAGTCTCTTCCGAAATCGAAGCTGAAGGCGAGGCGACCGTGGTCCTAGGCACTGAAGCCCTGGCTATCTACCCGTTCGTCTGCGGCCTGCGGTCTGCGGGAGTGCGATGACGAAGAAGGAATGCCGCTGCCAGCCCAGGTTTCCCCCAGAGGCTTGGGCCGTTTGATTGATCGCCGTGGCATGGCCAAGGGCTGCTGCAGACTGATAAGGCACACACGCGCACACACATACAAACACTCTAGGCTTGGAGGAGGAAAGGTTTCCGGTTGGCAAGCTCATCTTCCAGGGCTGAACGCCCGCAGCGCAGCCTGAAGGACGGTGGGAGGGGAGGACGGCTTGGCCGACGATGCGCTTTCCTGGCCCTGCCTTGCCTCCCGGTCGATTCGGTAGCATAGCGGCGGCTGCTTATCTCTCGATGCTCGCTCGCGCCGAGCGGATGACTACTTCAGATAGGCACTTGAAGCCAGGTCTCCCCTCCCCCTTCAAACCCCCGGCGGACAAGTTGTCTAGCATGATTTCCGAAGCCCTATGAGGCTGCAGGGCGCAGAAAGACGTTGGTTATCGACTATTCACATTTGGTCTAGTCTTGGCTAGGATATTTTCGATGCTTTCCGTGAGGAGAGCCCAAAAGTCGAGCTTGATCCGGTGTCCGAGATGAGATAGCCGGGTGATGGGTGTACCTCAAATCCGGCCGGCCTCGACGTGTGGGCATTCCTCTGAGACAAGCACCACAGGGTCTACTCTACGTCTGCGTCAATAGATCGGCGACCTATGAGGGCAAGGCACGCTGGGATCCAATCGTGTCCGGATGGTAGGTATCTATCGGAAAACGTCAGTCGGCATCGGATGCAAGATGGATGTGATATGCGTCACCGAATCCATTCAGTCGCCAATGGGCACCAACGGCCCGCGGCATCGAAGGCTGACTCTCTTCCCATACCGCTTTTTGCAGCAAGCCACCTTGAACGGCGCGGTCGCAGTCGCAGTCACAGTCGCAGTCTATCCCAGACAGGCTGTCGAGGTGACGATAGGAAAGAAGAAGTGTGAAGACGTTGCTTTTCACGGCAACGGCATGAACCCGGAACTGACAAGAAATTGACGCATGCTTCGTTTATTTTACCCCGGAAACCACTTTCCCCGCGAATCCACGGCTTGGGAAGTTTGGTAACTCCAGCAAAGAAACTCCATCCATTACTTGATCAAAACCACTTTTGCCGGCATCTCATTACGTACGGACTTTGAGAGTCGGCCTAGGACATCTCCACATCGGCATCTCATCTCGCTGCGTGTCTCCAGTTTCCCACGTTGCCGCTCCAGAGGTTCCAGACTTCCAGACTCCAGCGAAAGAAGAAGAACCCGCCAGCCCGCACGGCGGCGCCTTGCGCACGCACTCTAGCACGCGAGCCCTGGAGCAGAGAGAGAGAGAGAGCCGAGCTCCATTTCCCCGCGATTTTCCCACGCCAAAAAGTGGTCAGGTCGTGACGCATCCGAAGCTGACCGCGAACGAATCAGTCCCCGAGAAATTGAACAGACGAATAAGGTACAAATCTTGAATCATAACTACAATTGACTATCTGTACAGAATTATGGATCCGTCAGAGACACTCACGACAAATCGCCCGGATTGAGATCCCGCTTGACGTCCAGCGACAGACGATCCCTCACGCATGGGGACGATGACGAGGAGCAGCACTTTCGAGTCTACTTTCCAGTCGTGCCAGTCTACTCTCAAGTGCATCAACTCGCCTCCGCTGTATGAGCCGTCGCTGACCGGCTCCACCTCCGCATCCGCGAAGCTTGCCCCTACCGCTAACCGACCTTACCCCGCCTTCTTCCTCTAGCACTCTACTTAGTGTCCGTCGATCAGTTTGACGAAGAACGATGAAGAAGCGCTGAGCGCACGCAGTCGTTTCAAGGGCGGCGATGAGGAAGAGTGTGGAGGTGGTCGTGGAGGGGGTAGGAGCTCAAGCCGCGGTTCGGGGTGCAGGGGGACGCAACGGCGCCGGCGGCCACGGCGACGCGGGGAATGCGAAGACGCTGCCGGTAAGCGTTGGAGGCGACGACGAGGATAGGTGGGCAGCGCCGAGGGATGCGCTTGTTTGTTGTTTTAGCGAGAGCGGCGGGTGTCTCTTTTCCATGAGGGATGAGTGTTGTTGTTCCGATACTGATGGGTGTTGCTTCTCGAGTGATACTGCGTGTTGTTTTAGTGGTACCAACGGAAGACTGCAGCTTTGATTCCTTTTATTACGAATCTGCCTTTGCAAAGATGAGTTTTTTGTTTGAAGGCTGGCTACCTGGTTGGCCTGTGGGTTTTCCTGACCCGGGGGTGCACTGCGATGATGAGCGCTTTTCTTGACTTTGTGTGGTGATGTGATGCTGGACGCGTTGATGCATCACACGGAGGTAGCGATATATTTACAACCTCGCATACTACTAGGCCAGCTACCTGAATAAACATAATGACCAGACTAATCTGTCCAATGTAAGCTCGCGACTGCTTTGCGTATTCGTCTCTTCCATTGTGTGAAATGCGGCGATGCGCGCCCTGGTGTTTGTATAGCTGCCGCTGTCAAAGGGCATTTCTGCGCGACTTCCACCCAGATGAATGGAACCCTTGAGAAATGAAGCTTCCGGACTTCTTCACGAGTCTGGAATGGCAATGTTTAAATGCCCGCCGTTAAGCGATTTGCTTCTTCTTCTTCTTCTTCTTCTTCTTCTTCTTCTTCTTCTTCTTCTTCTTCTTCTTCATAGCCGTACCCGCGCTGCGCAGGCAGGGTGAAGGCGATCGCGCGATCCAGGAGCACTAGCACGTTTCTTTCCCTCTCGTCGGCCATGACATCTACGATTAGGGTATGTGAAGAGCGAAGAAAGGCGTACAAAAGCGCGCACTTGTTGGATATTTACCCTTTGCCCTACTATTGATCCCGTGACAGGGGCTCATCTCGCTCCGATATTTTCGTGTCTCGCGCGAGCTGGCGATGCGGAACAACGCTGGCAATGGACAATGGCCCCTGTACTGCTACAAGACTACATCTTTGATCTCGGTGGTCGGGGTAGATACGTGCTGAAACCGGTGTGTGCCTTTCTTCCCGTTGTCGTCGGCCAGCTCGGCCATTGTGAGCTCATCTCGCTTCCAGGCTTGATGGATTGACCCCTGGATCCAAGTCGTCCTGCCTTCATCGGTGTCGCTAGATCGCCTTGAACTCTTCGATTGGTGGAATATCGAACGCTATTGTACACGCTGGGAAGGGGGATCAACGACATTGGATGGAGTGAAAGGGGTTGAGGGGATGACTGGGGCGGCGAACGGGTTTTCATGTATTCAGATACATACCTACGTGATGGCATGATCATGACTCGGGTTTCTAGAGGTTTTCTATCTGCTCTATCTTGAGTTGGAAGTTCATCGTTTTCATATTTTTGGGCTTACGCCAATTCAAGTCCCCACGGAGTTCTTCGCCGGGAACGGGGAACCCAGCCGTGTCGGGGTCCGGTTCTCAGGGGTAGCCGATGGCCGACGAATGCTTTGATTATTCGCCTTGTTTGGAGTATGAAAGCCGCTTAACCTTGGATGGTTCCAGGGAAAGTGAAACTTCCCCTCAAGACTCTGGTGAGACTGAACTGGCTGTGTTGCTAGGAGGATGAGGCGATGCCTCCTCCGGCGCTGCCTCACTCGTACCTTGGGATGGGTGTAAAAGGCTGCCCTGGCATCGGATCTCAAGACTAAGGAAATTTGTGTCAACATGACCAACCTAAAGATATTGCAATCATACGCCTTCTGTACCACCAAAATTGCGCAGAGGGCCAGTGAGCTTGCGATGGGCATACAGAAGGAGGGCCTTGAGATTGGCCATGACTTCTGACAGCCAAATCGTCGTCGTTTCCCTATTCGACTCTCATCAGGAGGCACCCCTAAAGTAGATTTCTGAGTTGCCAATGTTTTCGCTCGGCAAATCTCTATGACTGCAGAGTGCCTATGCAACATCGTGGCCTCCTTGATTGCTGCTCGGCTCGGGCGACTTCGACCGGCGCTTACTTGTCCAAGAAAATACCGCCCATGTAATCCAATAACCCTTCTACAAGATAAGGAGATATTCCCGATGCTCCACGAAGCCTTGGCATGCTGTGCTCAAGCGTTGTCGACCTGCTTGGGCTGCCCAGTTGAGCTCGCTGTGGAGTCTGCCTGATGATAAGCCCCGTTCACCTCGTCGAACCGGAGCAAAGCCGGCTATCAAAACTGTGAAAAGGGGCATCAAAGACACGCGCATATACTTCAACGGCGTATAATCCGCAAGTACAAGGTTAGAATGCTGACGGCTCGGTATTCGCCCGGTGAGTCAGTCGGCAGTCGAGATGTCCATGTAAGCCGGGCTAACGTTGGTCCTAGAACACCGTCAGTGTACGTCTTGATTGGTTGAGCTTATAACTTTGTTAAATTGCTGGATTAGTTCATGTTGAAGAGGCTTACTGCTTTAAACGGACGTCCCCGTTGTCATGTCTGACTACTTTGGTTGATGCCTGGCGCCGGTATTGTTTGTACGTTCATCTCATACTTTGTGTGAATTTGAAGAAAAGCATCGACGACTTCAACGGATACCCAGAGCCCCCATGGTGCGTTCAACAACCATCCTTTAGCAGATATCAAGCCCAGCTCGACGGCACCAGGCCTGCTAAGAGTCGATGATGGGGAAGACGAAGCACGGAGAGAAAGCCGTGGTGTTTCCCACAGGCTGGTAGGTATGGAAAGGTAAATCACAGAGACGGAGTCTATCCAGCCGGAGCCTTTCTTGTTTTACGAACTCGCTTGGCTTCGTTGTCATCGTTCCACGGAGAGAAGTTTGGTGTCACACTTTTCTTCCCTTTGCACACAGCGAGTCGTCGAGGGTACGTGTACTTGTGCTTCAATCGAATTTTAACCCCGAATAATGTGAGGCTGATGCAACGAACCCAGCGTAACGAACACTTCTTGACATATTTAGAGCCGCGATTTTGGGTCCCGTTTGTTTGACTGCAATGTTACCAACATCTCCAGATCCAATATTTCAGCAACCAGTCGTCAAAGTCAATCAAGTCCCCAAGATCAGACCTGTACCTTGATAGACGAGATCGTGGATTGATCATGGGCATCATCTAAGCGACCCAATGAGGCTTTCTTTTTCCAGCATAGCCACGCCGGCCCGGCACCGATCGACTGCCGACCCCGCGGCATCGGCGTTGTCGAATCTCGCTATATATGGCTCTGGATATAAGTGAGCGCAAGGGAATAGAGATGGTCACGACAAGCATGATTTATTGGGACTCAAATGCACAAAATAAGGCCAATGCCTCACGAGAGCAATCACTGGTCAATGTTGCCGGATCGACATGACAGTAAGACGAATATGCCAGGACAGAGCGACCGGATTAGTTTCCCCCTCGAGCGTATGACACGGTATCCAAAAAACTTTGGACAAAGACGAGACTGAGCTTGCTCAATGGGGGTATATCATTCTTCCACTAAGTCATAAATGAATGGCTGGGTATTTCTTCATCCTTCAAATCGTTACATCCGCTGATTATAACACCGCTTCTAGGTACGTGTCCACGATGTTTCTAGTCTCCACGTTCTTTTCATCACATCATACATGCGCTGAAATTCGAAAAAAAGAAAGCCACAAGCACAACTTGGTTGTGCAACACGAAGGAAGCTTCCACGTCTAGTGGAAGTCTCCAATGCGGGGACCGAAGTATTCGCCCTCTGCAAGTGTAAGCAGACGGCAAGCCTTGCCTTCGCAACCCTGGCTGACCTGTGAGGAGAGTGATGTTAGTAGTGTCCTTTTGAGATTAAGTTGGGAGCCGGGATAAAAACGTACGACTGAGTTGCCCCACCAGTCGACCTCGATGTCCTGCCATTGAAGACCGAAGAACATGATGATGGAGGAGATGGCAATACCGCAAGAGAAAGCGGCGGAGAGAACGAAGTTGTACTGAAAGTAAGTGTTAGTGTCAAAATGCAAATACTGGTAGCAGGGAAGCAACTGACCTTGGACCACAGACCCAAGAAGCGGCTCTTGAGGTAGACCCAGGAGAAGTAGGCAATGGGGACGGAGGGCCAGACGAAGGACATGTTGTAGGGGGCCCAGACGAGACCTCCGTACATGATGGCGACGGGGTGAATCTGGCGAACCCACTTCCACTTGGGGAAGAACTTGTTCAAGCTCCAGAAGAAAAGAACGATGGCGACACCGAGGGGGAAGCCGAGGAGGGTGGCAGTGTACTGGCCGCCAGCACCCCAAATCTTCTTCGGACCGACGGTACCCCAAAGGACAGAGGCGGTGAAGAAGGTGTTGATACCGGGGCAGGTCATCTTGAACTTGGCGTCCTCGGTGCAGATACCCGGGATGCTGAACATCTGGAACTTCAGGACGGCGAGACAGACGAGGGTGGACACGAAAGTCGCGACGATCTGAGCCCAGAAGGTGTGGCGAGGGGGGATCTTGACGTAGTGGGCGAGCTTCAAATCGTTGGAGAACCAGACGGCGTGAGCGCAGGTGACGTAGCCGAAGGACTTGAAGTAGTTCATGGCCAGGGCGTTACCCTCGACCCAGGAACCACCGATGAACTCGGCAAGCACGTTCAGGGTGACCTCGATACCCGTCATGGCCTTGATGATACCGACCGGCACGACGAAGATCATGCAGAGGATGATACCATAGAAGACGACACCGACGGTGGTGTATGTGGGCCAACCAGCGATACCGGCACAGCCCAACGCAATGGCGATAACGAGGACTGTGAGGTAGTGCCATTCGGGGACCTCGGGGTAAGCCTTCATCAGACGGCTGTGGACGTCAAGGACCTGGTCCTTCTCAATGTCGCTGTTCTTCCTGAAGCTACCGATGAGAGCCTTGAAGCCAAGGGCAATCTCGTGACGGTGGTAGAGAGCGGCGTAGGTGATGGTGGCGGTGTAGATGGCGAAGAAGAACATGTAGATCATGACGTTGGCAGCGCCCAAGAAGGGGGGAGAGTACGCCTCGTACGCCTCCTTGTCAAACAGACCGTGCTCGTTGACGGCGCGGGAGACGTTGTACAGGGCGCCAAAGTGATCGTAGACCTTGTTGGAGTTGATGGGCAGGTATCCGGTGTTGTAGGTGTTTGTGTACCAAACAGCCAAGACGACGAACATGGAGATGAAGGTGCCGAGGAACTTGTTGAAGGTGGAGAAGAAGGGGACCATGAGAGGGTCGGTGTTGTCGTACAGCAGGATGTTCCAGTCAAAGGTAGGGAAGGGGTTGAGACCAAGACCACTGTTGAAGCCAGTGATTGTCGCGAGGTTGCGGTTCTTGGGGGCGATCCAGGTCATCCAGCTGAAGGTGGACAGGGCCGTGAACAGGTAGTTGGGGAACCAGAACCAGACGAACATGGCGGCAAAGGTGATGTAGAAGAACTTCTGTCTGCTCCAGCGCCAGATGCTGTTGAAGGGGCCATCGACGGTGGAGTTCTTGTCGGTGTGGAAAGCAGAGTTCAGGGCAATGGTCACCAAGGATGCCGGCCACACACAGTACGAAGGGTAGACGAGGAATCTTCTGCAGAGACCCGCAAGACCGTATCCGATGAAGTTGGTCGACAAGGAGATGAGAAGCTGGTAGCCAAAGTTGGCAGCGTAGCTCTGGTTGAAGAACTTGGGCAGCCACTGCGTCCAGATGATGTAGTTGGTGTAGGGGATGTTGTAGGCGACGTTGGCCATGATGGTGATGAGCATATGCTCCTTGCGGTTGAATGGGCCGGGGTTCAGCGAGTAACGGTGGCCGGCGACGGTGAATCCCACATCGGGGAGGGACTTCTCCCACAGCTTACCCAGGGGATAGGCAAGCAACTGAGCAACGTTGGCCAGAATGGTGATGGACGGGTAGCGGACTGAGAAGAGCTGGTTGACGAAGGCGAGCAGAGCAGAGAAGATGAGACCGATGACCCAGGCGCGGAGGGTCGAACTGGGCATGGTGGGGTCGTCGTGGTTGTCGACGACGGCGCGGACCTCGGCGTAGGGCGAGTTACCAGTGATGAGGGCGGCCTCGAGCTTCATCTCCTGAATGAGAGTCTCGTGCTTCTCGGGGTTCTCAAAGACATCGTCGTTGT